AGACTCTATTTGAATTGTCAAAAGTATATTGACAAAGTTCTTCTCAAGATCTAGTTAAGGAAATCAATCTAGTGAGAAGTGAGGCAAGCACAAAATAGAAATAGGTTTAAAAAAAAAATTAGGCGCTTTTGGCCATTTTTCACCACTAAAGTTCAAAATGAGTGTTTACATCAGAGCCCTTATGTTGAATACATTTTTAATGGCTTGGTAACACGATGGAGGAAGAAAAATGTGTGTATAACACAGCTTTCGTTAGCTGAAACTAAGAGCATCACTACCGTATCGCAATCTGGAAAACTCCTTTGGGGCTAGGATTTTTAAAACAGAATATGGCACTTGAATTGCATTTTCAGGAGGTGGAGGATATCCAGAACTCTTAGGCCAAATTGCAAAATCCAGTCTTTAAATTCTGTTTTGCAATGTGTAATGACAGCGGTGACAGCTTTTTAGGACATATTATCTACAGCAAGTACAGCTCTTGTATTTATAAAGGTGTATATGAAAATAAGCATAAAATTCCAGTAGAAGCTAAAATAGCCTTCAGTTCCTTCGCAAGCATGAAAAATGTCTCCAGTTTAGTTATAGGGTCACTACATGGAAAACAACTGCAGAACTTAGTTATCAGAGGGGGTTTTGTTTGGTTGGGTTTTTACCCCATCAGCCATCCAGGAATTAAGAAACGTGTTTCACGTCCAGGTGAAGAACTTGCTCTTCCTTCTCTCTGAGCTCAGTAGCAAACCCAAGTTCTTGCAAGCAGCTGAAAACCGCAGCTAGCTCTCTGCACGGTTAGGTCTCTGGGAACTCGGTGTGTCTTGCTCCACAAAGAGCATAATACGAGGAATGAAATGACTGTGAGAGTCATCTTTCTTTGGGCCAAAGCAGAATGTGACAATGAGCTGGAATTTACACATTCAAGTGGATCAGCTCGTTCAGACTGAGACATAAGGCCAACAAGTCCACATCCAGTTGGCCTACTATGGTTGAGCATCAAACATGCCAAAGTTCTCTAAAAAACGATCCTGCTGATCCAAGTCTCTGCTGCCTTCCTCGCCTACATGTGTGCTCTCTGCTCCTTTGAGACGAAAGCTGAAGACGCCACCTCATTCACAGTGCAACTTTTCTTTTGTAATATCCGCTGTCCCTATCAGTGACTGTGCTGGACATTCTCCTGTTCAGTGAAAAAGGTGCTGAAAAATAAAGCGCGTTGCTTTTCAGCTGTCAGGGTCTTACGTCAAGCTGTCTGTAAAGTCTATTATTTTTCAGCTGACCTAGTGGATGCTGTTCTACAAACTTGTCATTTACTTGTGCTCGTACACGGCATGGGGGAGTAGGCTTCTTTTTCAAGACATCTGGCAAAATTCGGTAATGGACCTAACCCTTGAAAAGAAAAAGGATCTCATCTAAAGAGTCTTCACAAACTTTTCTAAGCTTGCAAAAGAACCGTGTTGCAACAGATACCACAGAAAACCAGTTTTAACAAACTTAGATAAAACCTTAGAGGATCCAGAAATATTTGGTCCAATATATATCCATTAGCACAGAAGCACTGGAAATAAAGCCCTGGATAAGCGGATGGCAGAATAATTTGTTTCGTAATGCTGAGTCTAATTGGTGTGGACAAAGACCGCTTCATTTGATATAATTCAGATGCAGCCTAAAAGTCATTACAGATCCTCCCCAAGAAATACATGAAATATATCATTCTTTGCTCATCAAAACCAGTAACTGACACATACGTGATCCTCTGGAAAACTGACCCTCAGCTGCCAAGAAAGATGACTGAAATTAAATTTGAGGAGAAAACAAAGGCTGCCATTTGCTTCATCCTCATGTCAGTCATTTGGATCATCAGGCAAACAGTATTTTGGACAAAATGATTCACAACAATACAAGTCAGCCTGTTAGAGCTCCCCCACCAACATCAGAGATTTAGTGTTTCGTTACCAGAATCACGGGGGAAAGAAGACCTAAAATACCATACAGAGACGGAAGTGCTGTGCTCTTAGTGCGAGAATACCAGGCGTCGGGTTTTACAAATTTAGAAGTTTGCATGGCACAGTTGCCGCTCTTACGCTTAAAACAACGCATAGAAGCTGAACGTCCCAAAGACTACTTGTCTTACTACCAGGTCTGCTGTAACGGTGAATCTTGCAGATACTTTAGATACGGCTTCTTTTGTAGCACACGGCATTCTGATTATTTTACAGTCAAAAGTAGGTTCTTCAGATTATGATGGTATCGGTGGTATTTGTTATTTCATACAGAAGCTCAGCTCATTCCTCCTCATCATACCAGGGAGGAAAAACAGTAACTCTACTCTGAGCTCAATGACTTAGCGTGTAAAATAACTTCAGGATTAACTCAATTCTCCTTACAATGAACTGGATATTATCTCAACAGGTTTTAGCGAGGTCTTGCCTACTAGCAGTAGATAAGTACATTTTCAAATTCAAAAATGCTTTTCAAATGTCTTATGAGCATTTCTCTTACAGGTATTCAAAAAAGAAGGTCTGCATTATTCAAGACTGGACTTCAGGTTGCTTATGCGTATGAAAAAAATTCAAGGATTCCTAAAGATACAACATTTTAGCTCTAAAATCAGTACACATTAAACAAATTGTTTTGTTAAAGAGCATGACCAAGTTGGCCAACTCTTTGACCACGTCTCAAATTTGCCTAGTAAGAAGTCACCAGTGTTAAGACACATGCGTTAAGCAACCAGTGCTTACACATCTTAACTGAAATTTTATTTGAGAGCTGAGTGCTAGACACAGATTTTGCCGAGAAGTGACTTTTTTCAGTATCGTATGTCACAACCATTCTGGTAAAAATGTTGATGAAACTTTACCGCATTTCTATACCCTTTTATTATCCTTCCTTACATACGCTAACGTAAGCGGCAAACACGGAAATAAGAGCTGTCACTGACGGAAGGCCACATTAAAAGCCTTTTGGAATTTTTTCATTCTCTCCCTACAACGCTCACATTGCAAATCAAACAGAAGTTAGGATTCATTTTTTTTTTTTTAATGGTTTCCATGAACATCAGATTCCTCTTTTTCTGTTAATAAACACATTATGTATACACATGTACATACACACTTCACTGCTTAATTCTGGAGACAGTTGAACTGTCTTATCCTCAGACTCCAAACTTTTTGCTAAGGCACAATACCTGCAGTTTCATCTTTTCAGAACACGAGATTTATATTCACAAGCACCCTCTCAGTAGCAAGTAGATTAGAGAGTCGCACATAAGCATGTACACTTTAAACTCGGTATACACACAAATAATTTTGAGAGGTTACTATTAGTTTTTGCACAAGAAATATAAGCGGACAATGGGTGGCCATTAAGGATTTTATAGGCTTCGTAATTTACGCTCTATGGATCCACAGTCCTGATTCACCTATGAGCATTACTTTACCTTGAACATCTTTTTCTTGAGTATATATTTCTATGCTGCACCAGTGTTGTGTAATGTTCAGGCACTGTTTGCTGCTTGGTGCATACCAGAAGTTGTACTTACAGCTCAAAATGAGCTTCTACAAAAGTTCATGACTATACTGATTGACAGCTCCTCATTCAGATGTGAAACTTGCACGTATTCAGGACAGCAGCTGATTTTAGTGACAATTCTTTTTACTTCGCACCACACACTTACCACAGCAAAGACGGAACTTTAGTTTACCGTATTATGTACGCTCAAAGGAGCTTGTTTACGAATTCCAAACTAACTGCACAAACAGGTCTGCCTGCAAAACCACCAAAACTGGTGACTGTGTACAAATGAAGGCAACGCACCAAGAGCACAAGTTGAGTTTCTACAGCTGAAATAGTATTTTTACTTACTTTATTTAACTAGGGGGGAGGGGGAAAGAAAAAAGAAACCTAAGATGTGGTTTTACACAGTAACACTTCAGAAAAACACTCTTACTTTAAAAACACTTCTTGCAGGGCACCAGAAGCCATCCCTGCCAGCAAACGTTAGCTTTTCACTACTGCTCATCTAAGTTAAGAATGCGGAAAGCATTCCATTTTTTTCCATTACAAATGTATTTTTGTATGTGTTTAGTATATTTCAATTCATACTAGTTATCACTAGTCAGATTAAAAAATAAGTAATTTTAAAATGTGTATTTTAATAATGATTAATCATGACTGTATTTATCACTCTCAACTATTAATTACCAAATATATTTGCTGGATGTAAGCCTTTTGTATTTCAATAAAATATAATAAAACTATTTACTTGAAAATTTCACAGGGAATTGAATTGGTATTTAATCTCACACTGAGACAGATCACGTTATTTTAAAACTGTTTTAAAGCTACAGTTGGAATGAAACAAAATTATATCTCCTGGATATCAAAGTCTGAATTACTTCAATCTTCTTAAATTAGAAAATACCACTGATTTGGCCCTTAAGACAGGAAAATTTGGTAACTTTTTTTTTTTTAAACCCCAAAAGCGACACCACACCCCCACCCCAACGTAAAGCTCTTCCTGCAGCATACAAACTCAAAGCATCGTTAAGTGGTTTCACTCACTCGTCACTGATGAAAAAGCTGCAAAGAGTACACAGGATAGCAAATGATAAATATGGTGGAAGTGACAGCAATAAAGGTTAAAAAATAGTAACAAAAGTAGAAAGAAACTTGTTTCAACAAACACTGAGAAATGAAGCGCGAGACTTAAAGATAACAAAATCAGAATTCCTTAATATCAGAACGTTATTTTAGAGGAACACTTACCTTAGAAAGACAAGACAAAATCTTTACCGGGGTAGCTTTAAGCACCATAAACATCTGATAGAAAAGCATCAGGCAGTTCCGGCACAGAAATCCTTTTATCCTTCTCATAACTTAATTTACCCTGACTTACTACACTTTAAATCTTTAAAAGACAAAAGGGTAAGAGAGAGACAACTGAGATTTCAACATGGAATGTATTTATTTTTTTTTTTATAATTTTCAGTACAGTATTAGGAGGTCATTTAAATACTTTAAATAAAGATTTTGGAGAAAAACCCAAAGGATTCAGCTAGGTAAAGAAAAACAATCTCATCAGTGGATGAAAGACAAGTATTTAATGACCTTGTGGTCCTCGAAGTAGCATTCCCTAGACAATTCATGTTCCTGGGTCACCCGGTCAGGAACGTAGCCTGGCACGGTGATTCTCTTCCTCTCCTTCGTTTTCTGGAGTGTTTCATGCAGAAGATCTCAACTACAACGGACAACTTCACTGAGAGGCAGGAAGATTGTGTTTTAAAAATCAAACACACAGAACCAAGCCAACACGTTTACCTCATCATTTTGCTTTAAAAAACAAATTACATTTTTCTCTATAGCCGTAGATCAGTAGGGCACTAGGTAATACTACAATCCAACAGTATAATTATCAGACACAGTAGATGGGACAACGGAAACAATCGGTAAGCGGATGAATATTGCCTGACGTGGAGGGGGGGGATCTGAAATTAATTGAAAATTAATTTTGCTGCACAGAAAGATCAGTAAAACTAAAAGCAGATGCTGCTTTTGGTGCAGGAAAAAAAAAAAACCCAAAACCAACCATGCTACTGTGCAAACTAGAATACCCTGATTTTTGGAATGCATTTTTTGCTTGCCTCAGGCCTACTGCTGGAGCAACGCAGAGAGGTGGGAACATCTCATTTGAGAACATCCAGCCACCAGTTCCTCTTCCACTATTTCAAAGTCAATTTTATTCTCCTGATAGCTCATATTCGTTAGTCATTTAGTTAACAAGAATTTCCATACACCCCATTCTGAAAAATAAATTTTCTTTCTGATGCCAGTCAAGGAAATCCTGGCATAATCACAGGAACAGACTGGAAAAATCCAGTTAACAATTTTATTTATTTTAAGTTCCCCACAAGTATGTTTACACATATATGTAATAAAATATTTAAGCATATATATGTGTATACACATACACTTAAGTATTGAGGTTCTTTGCTTACCATGTTCAGTCTCATAAAATCCGGTTTTTATATATGTATATATATACACACACACATATGAACTGAGACTTTATGCTTTAAGTCAAGAAGTTAAACCTAGACAGTAATAAATACAGGGTAGGGCATCTCAGTCCTATCAGTTCAGTGATTTTTATTTCTTCCTTGTGTCGCATGAACGATCACAGCTTCTTGCAGGGCTAAGTTTCTGGAGACTGGAAGTTCTGAAACTTTGGTTCCAATTCAGTAACACATTAAACCAGTAATTTAAATTTCATAAGCAGCACCTTTAAACTCATGCAACACTGTACAGGTTTGTACACAACTTGCTAGCCAGCAGTCCGATGCACTTTCATCTTCCAGCCAAAAATTACTGCTTCAGTGAAGAATTTGTTTGGGTAAAATGAAAACATTTTCTCGTTTGCAATCACGTGACCAAAAAGTAGAGTGGGTACGCAGTGGACGCGGAGATTCCCTGAGGCAGCAGATTCATACAGAGTTAAGGTATTACTCAAATATCTCCCCGAGTACTACGGTAAGGAGTGCATTTATAACAAGCAGCAGACTGTGGCATGCAAGCACAATCCAAGGTCAGCAAGGATGTATGCATCGTGAGCTTTCTCTGTGCTGCAGAACTGTACCTCTTGAAAGTTATTAAGTAAGTATAGTTATGCATTTAAAAACTAAAGTTTCCAAGAGGTTTCAAACTGAATAAACGGTGAGGAAATTGTTTTATAGCGTAAGCAAACTTTCTCAATTCGTAGAGCAAGACTTCATTTTTAAATCAGGTTGAATAAGTAACTGGACATCAAGCTACCTATATTTCAAATTCCCATCGGAGAGATAATAAATAATCAAGTTTAATTTGTTGAAATAATGGCCAGCATGGTGAAACAATGTTCACATAAGTGAACAAGTGCATCTTGAAGCTGTGTGAAATCAGTAATTCCCACCCACGAACTCCCAAACCAAACTGCTTAATAAGGGAACTGTTACGAGCTATGAAACTTGACAGAGGAGGCTGAGATAAAGCTCAGTGTCCAAATCACTATGATATTCCAGTATACTAAAAACTGTTGCTATTCCATCAGCACCCAGCACTAAGATGATGCATTACGTTATTGGACCAAATCTTTATACAGCCTAATAAAAGGTACAGACCTTGTGCATCTCGTTACAATTAAAATAAACAGGATGTCTGAGGCTCAGGCCTCAACATTCAGCTAAGTTACACTGCCACCAAAAAGCTGAACATATTTCCCTTATGCTATCCTTAATCTTACATGCCTCCAGATCTAAGACTTGGACGCTTTTGCATAATATATTGAAATTACACTACCTGGATAAACAAACTGTCCAAGAATTCCTAATGGAAATTTGGTCAGAAAAATAGAAGTCTAAAGGAAATTTGTACTTGAAGAGAAAAAAGAAAAACTAAGAGAGAAGTGGTACAAGCCCAAATGAGCAGTACATTCTCAGTGTACCTCCAACATTACACACCATTGACATATATGAACGCTCTTCTCAGAATGTACAGAAAACCATTTCTCTTAAACCAAGACAGAGAATGCATTAAATAGGAATTTATGGGTCTCAAGTTTAGGAGGATTTCCCATCAGTTTCTGAAAAAAGTCAGTAAATACAGACACTAACCAGTTTTCAAATCAGGACATAAAATGTCTCCGATTATATAAGAGTATACTCCAACTTCTCCAGAAGTCAAAGCTAAGGCCTCACAATTCCAGTTATGAGAAACAGCATATCCTCTTTACTAGGCCACCGCTTGAAGCCAACTATTCAGTGTTTTACAGAGGGGATTTTATAAAAAGGTGGTTGCAGTGCAGCTCTTTGTAATATGTACCCAAGTATAGACAGATTGCTTGAAAGCGTTAAGAGTTATAACAGAAACCGTTAAAGAAAATGCAACATATGAACAAAATGCAACAAACTACACTGACTGAAATTTCTTCAAGGTCCTCATACCTAGTGAAGTTCACTACACAAATTAAACATCATAAAGTACAAATTAACAAACCACATGATTAATAAAATCTGTTCACTTTATATTAAACATCTCTAGTACGATTATAGAACGTTTACGTCCTCTGTCGCACAGAGGAACTCTTCCCTTTGTATCACGGGCAAGGGTTCTCATCTCGAACACTACTGTGCAAAATGACCACTTATTTCAATAGGTTCTGCAGCATAGCTGTAGCATACGTAGGGCGAGCCTGTCTGCTTTCAATTGCTTTTTGAAGATACTGGATACCTCCGCAGCGCTCCCAAATTTCTTCAAACTGTCTCGGCAAAATTTCAGCACCTCGCTTTCGAGTTAAGCCAGTCTCTTCAAGATTAAGCTCACACATATCCATATCGTCCTTACCTGAAATGGTAAAGGGAGAAAGAAAAATCTTCACAGATCTTTTACATCATTCTAAGGTCCCATTAACAAAGATCAGGTCTTTGTTAATTAGATTTCCTCTCTCAGGCTCTGTTTTGTTAACAGACTTCAGAGCTTACGAGGAAATCAGTCCTCAGACACAGATTTTTTTTTTTTTTTTTTTTTTTTTAACCGCACAGAGC